TCTTTTCTCAGATAGCCCTCTGCTGTCTTTGGCTTTTGGCTAAGACTATAAATAGAAGCCCAGGTTCTTTCTAGTTTACTGAGCATTTCATAGTATTTTGTCCCTTTTGAGCCTTACCATAGCCTAGTGAGATAGTCAAAGCAAGTAATAGCCCTATTTTACAAATGAGGAAACAGAGGCAGAGATGAGGTAAGTGGCTTCTCTGAGGTCAGAGCCATGGCTTGAGGGCAGAGTTCTTCTTCATTGGAGGAACTTACGGAAAGGAAATGAGTGTCCACGACATCACATTCAGCAGGGTGCAGTCACCCAGTTTTTGATGTTCTGGGTTCACAGAGGTGGGAGAGGCAAGCCCCTGTCCCATGAGGCTGATATCTAGCTCACGGGGCCTCCTGCTACCACAAGCTGTTGGGGCAACAGGTTTTCCATGATTCCTCCTCACCCTGTGTTTTAGAGGGAAAAGCTGGCCACTGGAGGAACAGAAGAGAAGGGTGGAAGCCGTGAAGAATTCTGTGGCTGGGAGAGACCTTAGAACCTTAGAACCTTTTTGGATGTGGAAACAGAAGCCAGATAACCAGCTGGCTGGTGGTAGAGGCGGGGCTGGGTCTGCAGCAGGCCCTCTCTCTGTCTCACCTCTAAGTTTAGATGCCATATTCCTTGTGAGGGTGGGTGAGTGCTAGCTTTGAACATGAAGCTTGGTTCCAAGTTCCTCTTCAGTGATAATTTTTTTAAATTAAAAGTGGTCACTAACATATTAATACTAAAGGAATACTGAAGTGAAAGTTTTTGCCTCAGTATTTCTCTAGGGTAATGAATACCTAGTCTTAATTTGTTCTGAAACATTTTGCTTTTCATTTGGTATGCTAAGGTTACAATCCAAGGACAGATTTTGTTTTATGTTCAAAACATATCATTTCTTAAAATTACTAGATTTATGATGTGACCCTTTCTCCACAATAGCTGGGTTCTCCTGCTCTGGGTGATGCTCGTTTTTTTTTATTATTATTATTTTTTGGTTTTTTTTGAGACAGAGTCTTGCTCTGTTGCCCCAGGTGGAGTGCAGGGGCATCATCGTAGCTCACTGCATCCTCCAACTCCTGGGCTCAAGTGATCCTCCTGCCTTAGCTTTGCAAGTGGCTGGGGCTGCAGGTGCACACCACCACACCTGGCTAATTTTTCTTTCTTTCTTTTTTTTTTTTTTTTTTTTTGTAGAGATGGGCTCTCTCTCTCAGGCTGGTCTCGAGCTCCTGACCTTAAGCAGTCCTCCTGCTTCAGCGTCCCACAGTTGCTAGAATTACAGGTGTGAGCCACCTCACCTGGCCTTTTTCTATTCTTGGTAGAGATGGGGTCCCGCTCTGGCTCAGGCTGGTCTCCATCTCCTGACCTCAAGTGATCTTCCCACCTTGGCCTCCCGGAGTGCTAGGATTACAGGTGTAAGACACAGCGCCAGGCCTACCCTTGGGTTTTGAGGGTTAGTTTTCCTCTGTATTATTATTGAAGCAACAACCCCTGGCCTCCCCTTACATGTAAACACTCCATTAACTACCCTCCATTTCTCTTTTTTCTTTGCAAAAACTCCATTTCCATCACCTCCTCTCTACTTGATCAGGTCTTAGGCTACTTGGTAGAATTGGTCCCTTGACCTTGACTCAGCTGCTTAAGCAGTAAGGGAGGAGCCAGCTGTTTCTGTTAAAAACAAAACAAATCGGGAGCTCATATATGTACATCTTCTTCTACCCAGTTCCGCACTGGCTCCTCCCCACAGTATTCGTGAGTTTGGCAAACATTTGCTGCCTGCCTGTCAGATGCCAGGCCCCGTGCTTGCTGTTGAAGATTCCAAGTTGAGTAATTCACAGTCCCTGCCTTCAAGGAACTCTCAGCCTAGTGAGGTGAGACAAATAAACAAATAGATGTAATAACCTGTTAAAGGTACAGTCATAGCTGGGTAAGAAGGGGTCATTTCTGCTGGGGGTGGGTGTGATATGAAGTGTCAGGAAAGAATTCCTCCAGGACATGACCCTTGTGCTGTGCCCTTGAAGTGACTATTGCTGGCAGCAGGAGCAATCAGGTTCTTGAGGTTTATTTGAATGTCAGTTTGTTGAGGGAGGAGACGGGCAGTGTACAGGAAGGCCTCATTACATTAACTTTATATTTTGTCCGAATAGGTAGTGTGGACAAAGTACAGCACTAAAGGAGATTAAAAGGGAATATATGTAGTGAAAAATGTTTTTCTCCTTCCCTGTTAACCACTCAGTTCTTCTCCCTGAAGAAAATTGTAAGTTACCAATCTCTTGTGCATCATTCCAGAGGGGTTTTCGGTACATACAGGTATATGTGTGTGTGTATCCTTTAAAAATACATGCATAAGTGCAAATGATTTTCTTCATGTACTAATTTTAGAAGCCATTCCGTATTAGCACAAATTGAACTACCCTGTTCCTTTTAAACCACTGGTATTCTTCTGAGTGTACTGTAACTTATTTCACTAGTCTCCTTTTGATGAACTTTAGGTTGCTCCAATCTTTTGCCATTACAAACCATGCAGTGAATGTCCTTCATATATGTCACTGGTGATGTGATTTCAGAGGACAGAGTCCAGAAGTGGAATTGATAGGTCCGAGAATATGTGCATTTTGGGGACAGATATTATCAAGTTGCCTTCCAATGAGCTCTACTTGATGACAAAATATTGAACATACTTTATCACTTGGCCCCACAGCAGTTCTGCTCCCCCACAATCCTCTAAGATCCCTGCCACAGCGATCTTCCTGAATGAATTTGGTCTTGTAACATCCCTGTTTAGAACCCTTGCAAGCATCACATGGTTTTCAGGGTAAAATTGAAACCCCTTGGCTTAGCCCCTGCCTCCAGCCTCCTCCAGGAGTACTGTGCTCCCATAGTACTCTGATCCACTTATATTTGGTACTTCCTTTTTTTCCTTCTTCTTCCTTTTTTTTTCCCCACTAGGCACATCCTTTCAGACTCAGCTTAACATCACCTCCTCTGGGTAGTCTCTCCTGACTACCTCCACTCATGCACGAACACCTGACTACCGTATGTGGCCTCATCCATTCACTACTTAAATATTTGTTGTGCACGTGCTGTGGTGTGGCACACACAGGGATCATTCTTGGTGATCCACTGGTGTTGCCTTGAGGGGATGATGACTGCCTGGTAGGGTTACCTGGTGTGGCTCCGTATAAAACGGCAGCACCAAAGGGCCCATCTCCAACTCTAACGCTAACCAGCTGGAGGCCCTGGTCATATCCTTTAACTTCTCGGGACCTTGGTTTGCTGTCTGTCACATGAGACTGGAGCTCGATGAACTCTAAGGTCCCTGCAGCTGAGGTCTTATTAATGATTGAACAGCAACAGCAGCCAGTGTTTACTGAGGACTTGCAAAGTGTCAGGCACTTTGGCTATTCTAATCCTTGCATCTTTGCTCTACAAAGATGGTGTGGTTACTATCCCCATTGTACAGATGAGGAAACTGAGGCTAAGAGAGTTATTGTGACTAATAGAGGAAACAGATTTGAATCTAGGCATTCTGACTTTACTGTTCTTAGCCACATAAATGCATACACATTACTACACACACACACACACAAACACACACACATAGTTTTGTGTACTGTTTTGAGGCACTCACAAGTTCCACTCCCAGACCTCTTCATGAAGCACCCCTGTTCCACAGCTTTAAAGGCTCAAATTGGAGTCTAGGTAAAGCTGGGAGCAGAAGACTGCTACCGTCACAGTTATTAGAGGGAAGGGGGTGAGGACAAGTGGCTAGCTCTGTTCATGAGCCCCTGGCTAATGCTTATTGAAGACTCTCATAGTTGCTCTTCTTTCGGACTGAGACGTCCGTGTTACTGTTTTCTGTTACCCTCTTTAGGAGGGGAACACAGGCCTGAGTCAAGCTTCAGACACTGATTAAAATCAGATCTGGCTAGTATCCCTGGCAGAGTCTCAGGGGCATCCTTTATTAGGACTGTAGATGGCAGACTCCCTTATCTGTGCACATAAAGCCTTATTAATGGGGAAGAGAGTGTGTGTAGAATTAAAAAAAGGAAGTGTAATATTATTTGGAATACTTGTTATAAACTGAAATAAATGAGTTAACTGGCAGATGAAATAAAATAATTGAACTAAAATATAATAGGCCCACATCATATTTTATCATCAACCCAGCTGCTTCCCTAAAGGCATGTAGAAAATAATCCTAAAAGTGCTGACCCCAGATTTTTTTTTTTAAGATGCTGGTTCCTACTCTTCTGAAGTCTATCTGAGCTAGAGTGGGTGGTAGCACTAATTAGCAATTACAGCCCGTCCTCCACCCCCTGTCATTGTCAGGGTCAGCCAACAGAATGTGGTCACAGGTGTGTCGGGTGAGCCTTGATTAATTAGTCCATGTTTGAGATTCAAGGCTGTCGAGTCAGATCCTCAGGGGCTCATCCAGCCTCTGGCGGTTTAGCAAACAGGCTGAGCCCTCAGCTCCCACTGCTGCATTCCTTCTCTAGGCGGTGTATTTCCCCCTTTAAGACACGTGTTCTCCCTCTCTCTCTTTTTTTTTTCCTTTTGGTTAGTTGAACTTGTTCTGAGTCCAAGTGGCCAAGGCAAAGCCTGACTCAGGTGTAGCAGCTCTGTGTCAACAGCCACCTTTGCTCCTCTGTGCTGGAGCCTGCTGGGCAGTTTCCGAAAGCTCTGCTGTGCCTGACGGATGTCCAGGTGAAACATGTCCACGTGAAACAGAGCCCGTCTCCTGGCCCTGTTGAAAAATCTGGCTCCGGGATGCTGATGGTAGCTTGCTGCGGGCCTTGGCGTTTCCCCACGGAGGAGTTGAAAAGCCACTTCTGTGCTTGTCTCTCCTGGCAGCAGGGATTCAGTTGCTAGAATTCTTTCTACTTCGTATGTGATTATGGCTTTCTTACCAAAGTGACTGCTTTTAACTAACTTATGGCTAAAGTTTTCACTTTACTTGTGTCTTTGTTTTCTGTTTGTTATAGGTGAATCTATCCCTGGCTGACTTTAGGATTCATACTTCTGGATTTTAAATTTTTTCTCTTAAAACAAATTTGGACGGATAAAAGATGTGCCATGGCAGGATAGCACCAAAGAGCACCTCAGCGTTTGGCGTGGCCTCCGTGAGACATGGAGCATTCCTGCCACTGGTGATCCTTAGCACCCTGCTTGGAGATGGGCTCGCCTCCGGTAAGTCCTGACCTGCCTTCTGTGTATGGGAGGGAGAAGACTTAATGCCACTGTTTCTCTGGAAGGCTAGGATAGGGGACTCTCCTTCTGTCAGGGAGAGCAGAGCATGGAGGGCTTTTGTGCTGTGGTATCTAGAGGAGAGAGCCAATCCTTCCAGGGCCTGATAAGCCAGCCGGAAGAGGGCTGTGTGGGAACCTGCTGGTGATAACCTGTCACCCCCCTCTCTCCTGCAGTAGTCATCATCAGGCAGGACAGAGGTGCAGGTTTCAGAGCACGATATACAGGTAAGGGTGCAGGCTTGGGAATCAGACTACCTGCATTCACAGCCCATGCCTCCTACTTGCTTGCTATGTGACCCTGAGCAAGTCCCTTTACTGCTGTAAGCCTGTTTCCTCAGCTGCAGATGGGGTAATAATGGTATTTACCTCACTGGGTAGTTGTGAAGATTGAGATAATATAGTAAGCCCTTAATGATTGTTAGCTCTTTTTTGTTTGCTTCTTGTCTTTCTGTGGTTTTTCTCAGAATGAGTGCATAGTTGAGGTCTTGTAATTTAGTGAAAGTAAGACCTTGTTTGCTGACACTGTAAACATTGTGATCTTGGACAAGCCACTTATCCATTCTCCAGCTCAGTTTCTCCCTCTGTCAAATGAAGGGGTTGACCTAGATAACTGTTAAGTCACTTCTAGCTCCCTCAGTTTATGCTTTCATGATTCTGATGCTTTCTGGTTGAACATGGTGAGCTGGAGGGGCCCTAACAGGACTAGAAATACAGCACTGAGCCTTTCTGAGTTTGTACAGTCCTTGTTGCCTTCAGCAATGCTCCAAAGACCCTTCCAGGTTCTCTTTGTGTGGTCCTCCTTAGGAAGGACATGTTGGGTGTGTATGGCAGGTCTCTGGGTGGTGTGCCAGGATCTGCTTCTGGGTCTGTGAGCCGCAGTATCATCATTGAGCTCATCCGTAATGGTTTTCCTACCAGACTTCTTTAGAAATGCATGTGACAGTTTCCTTGGATAGTGCTCGCTGGAGAGAGATCTAAGAACTATGATTCTGGAAGGGGACTTTCTTGGGAGGTGTTGGGGGAGTGGTATATTGTGGCTGTAGAATTCCCATAGCTCAGTGTTATCTCTTCCATTCCCTTTCTGTCAACTCCCACCATCTACTTACCCAACATAAACAGATAATAGTGCAATCTCATATTTTTCTTTTGAATTCTTGGGATAAACAATTACTGTTTTTTTGTTCCATCATTGCTTTCCCTACCACTCACACACAGATTTCCTTTTCTTTTGTCTCTCCTTCCTCCCCCTCTGACACTTAACCCAAACCTTTCTTTAGCCTTGAGGAGCCCCTGGCACAACCCAGGGGGCCATGATGTTTGGGACCCCATGGTGTGGCCACGATGGTTATATTGAAAAGAAGGAAAAGAAGACCAATCTATGGAACTGGAGACCATTATCCTAAAAGTATCTAAGCAATGGAGAAACAAACACCACCTGTACTCTCTAATAATTGGGAGCTAATTGATGGGTACACACGGGCACAAAGAGATATAAAGGTCATTGGAAATCAAGAAGGGGGAGAAGGGGAGGAGGGAATGGGTAACAACCTACCTATCAGGTACAATGAACACTATTCGGGTGACAGGGACACTGAAAGCTCTGACTTAAGCATTATAAAAGGTGATACCCATGTAACAAAACATTTGTACCACCTTAATATTTTGAAATTAAAAAAAAGAAAAAGGGCCGGGTGTGGTGGCTCACGCCTGTAATCCTAGCACTCTGGGAGGCCGAGGCGGGTGGATCGTTTGAGCTCAGGAGTTCGAGACCAGCCTGAG